TTTTTTTTTTTTTTTTTCCCCTAGAGAGAGTGGGAGGGGGAGAGAGACACACACATCGATTAGGTGTCTCCCCACCAAGGCTGGGAATCTAACCTGCAACCCAGGTACATGCCCCTGACTGGGAATAAAACCAGAGACCTGCCAGTTTGAGAGCCGGCACTCTGAGCCACGCTGGCCAGGGCAAGCCCTATTTCTGAAGATGGTTTTGTTGCCATGGGAAGTCGGTGTCCGTCCAGTTTCTGAGATTTTGGTGGAGTTTCTGGTTTCTGTGATACGTGACAGTTTAGTTTCACTCGAGATGGTATCAGAATCGTCGATTCCTGCCAGCATTTCCCATGAGAATCGTTTACTCGTTTAGGTTTTAGCGAGACAAGCTTCCTGATGGGTTGTGTTCCTTGCTGTGTGCCTAGCTCTTGAAATAAAAGGCACCTCTTTGACATGAGTGAGACCCTGAGTGGCCCTGCGGGGACAGAGGTGGCTCTGGATGTTGTGTCTCAGGAATCCTGCCCTCAGGGAGGAAGCAAAAGGCACACAGAGCCAGGTGTTTTTAAGCCGTAGATTTTAGTGCAGGATAGGTTCTTTGAAGCCTCAAATATTGTGTTCTAGAGTCAGGGAGAAGACATTTTGTGGGTAAAGGAATAAAACTGTTTTCCAAGGATGGTTTCACAAAATGGGTATTTGGCCGGGAGTCTGCGGTGCCAAGTGGGCTGGGCAGCTCCTGCCCCTGCAGGTTCGCCCGTGCCTTGTGCTGGGCACACTGAGCTTTGCTCACCTGTGAATTCGTGTTGCAGACGAAGCTCCACGAGGACCTCTGTGAGAAGCGGACAGCAGCCACCATCGCGACCCATGACCTCCACACCGTCCGGGGTCCGCTGCTGTACACCACCCGCCTGCCGCAGGACCTCAAGGTGACACGGCACCCCTTCTGGGTTTGCAGTCTGAATGTTCCTTTGTGTGTTTCAAGAAAGTACATGTTGTGTCAGAGCGTTTTAAGGTAGAGTCAGGCGGCACTCCTCACAGGTACCCAGCACAACTCAGGGCAGGCCCTGCTCACAGTCACTCCGACAGCTCAGGGCCCTGCTCACAGTCACTCCGACAGCATAGGCCCTGCTCACAGTCACTCCACCAGCTCAGGGCCCTGCTCACAGTCACTCTGACAGCACAGGCCCTGCTCACAGTCACTCCGACAGCTCAGGGCCCTGCTCACAGTCACTCCACCAGCTCAGGGCCCTGCTCACAGTCACTCCACCAGCTCAGGGCCCTGCTCACAGTCACTCCACCAGCTCAGGGCCCTGCTCACAGTCACTCCACCAGCTCAGGGCCCTGCTCACAGTCACTCCACCAGCTCAGGGCCCTGCTCACAGTCACTCCACCAGCTCAGGGCCCTGCTCACAGTCACTCCACCAGCTCAGGGCCCTGCTCACAGTCACTCCACCAGCTCAGGGCCCTGCTCACAGTCACTCCACCAGCTCAGGGCCCTGCTCACAGTCACTCCACCAGCTCAGGGCCCTGCTCACAGTCACTCCACCAGCTCAGGGCCCTGCTCACAGTCACTCCACCAGCTCAGGGCCCTGCTCACAGTCACTCCACCAGCTCAGGGCCCTGCTCACAGTCACTCCACCAGCTCAGGGCCCTGCTCACAGTCACTCCACCAGCTCAGGGCCCTGCTCACAGTCACTCCACCAGCTCAGGGCCCTGCTCACAGTCACTCCACCAGCTCAGGGCCCTGCTCACAGTCACTCCACCAGCTCAGGGCCCTGCTCACAGTCACTCCACCAGCTCAGGGCCCTGCTCACAGTCACTCCACCAGCTCAGGGCCCTGCTCACAGTCACTCCACCAGCTCAGGGCCCTGCTCACAGTCACTCCACCAGCTCAGGGCCCTGCTCACAGTCACTCCACCAGCTCAGGGCCCTGCTCACAGTCACTCCACCAGCTCAGGGCCCTGCTCACAGTCACTCCGACAGCTCAGGGCCCTGCTCACAGTCACTCCACCAGCTCAGGGCCCTGCTCATAGTCACTCCACCAGCTTAGGGCCCTGCTCATAGTCACTCCGACAGCTCAGAGCAGGCTCCTAGGCACCTTGGGAAGCACGCTCCTCAAGGGAAGTCAGAACTTGAAAGTGATTTTCATTTGCTCACTGACTTAGAACCAAAAACATGTGGTTTGTATCCCAGTTGCAAAACCCGTGTGGGTCTGGCTTCAGTGAGCTGTCCCGTCGAGGTCCTGCCCTGTTCTGTTGACCTCTGCACAGGGCCCTGAGGTCCTGGGCAGGGAGGGTCCCAGTGCCCCCTGCCTGCCTGCCCCCCCGACGCCCTGCTGCTACCTGTCCTCGGTCTTCCAGAATCTGTAGCCTTGGAAACGCAGCTCTGTGTTGGGCGAGTTCAAGGTTAAGCCCAGTTTCAGAAGGACTGGAATGTGTGGGCATTTGGGCTCCTAAGTGACTCTGAAGGCACGTGTGACCACGCAAGATGCAGGGGCAGAACTGTCAGCTGTGGGGCAGCTGTGGCCTCTCCATGGAGGGTGACAGAGGAGGGGCGGGGCCACATGCTCAGAGTGAGTGAAAGGATGGGGGGTGTGGCCGCGAGTGTGTCCACATGAGCTGACTGGAGGTTTCACCCTAAAGATTGCCCCCCTGGGGCGCAAAGAAGTCAAGGCTAAGGACCTGGTTCGGCAGCTGCAGTTGGAGGCCGAGGAGCACCGCAAGCAGAAGAAGCGGCAGACAGTCTCAGGCCTGCACAGGTGGGCAGGGCGCAGGGGACAGCAGGGTGTCCCAACGTGCCGCCCTCTGTCATTCACTGCCAGCTAGGAAGCTCCTGAAGTTGCCAAAACTTGAGAAATCTCCCCAGAGCTCATTCCCTCACCTGTTAGGGACTCATGTGAGGTGAGAGGCACTCCTCTTAGACCCGCATCTCGGGGGCATGTGGGGATTGGATGCCATGCCCAAGGGAGCCCGTGTGAGGACGGAAGTCCTGTGCCACCTCAGGAGGGTGGCCCCCGGGACGGCACCAAGGATGCAGGTGGGGGAGAGAACCACATCTCCCACCAGCCCCAGGGAGACCACCAAACCCGCAGCATTTTACCCAGAAGTCACACAGTTGGGAAACGTCCCTGAGGCCACAGCCCTGCCTCCTTAGCCCAGCTGCCATCCCTGTGTACACAGGCTTCGGACGTTCCTTCCCTTGAGCTGTTGGACGTGCCCTGGATCTCACTGGTGTAAAGAGCTGTGATTTGCCCAGTTTAACCTGCAGGTGCGTTGTGGCAGCTTCGCTGTAACGGGTTTCTCCTCAGATACCTCCACCTGCTGGATGGGAAAGAGCAATACCCTTGCCTAGTGGATGCCGATGGTGACGTCATTTCCTTCCCGCCCATAACCAACAGTGAGAAGACGAAGGTGGGTTGTCTGCAAACATCCCTGTGTCTGTTCCCGTAAGCCTGGGGCTGTGCGGGGCCCTTGCCTGGGCCACACCACGTCTTCGTGTGCGTAGCCTCCCGGGGCGCCTGTGCACAGGAAGGCGGTGGTCTGGGCTTGAGGGACACCAATTATGAGGGTTTCCTCAGATTAAACGCTGCAGTTGCTGGTATCTACTTTTGATAACTTTACTCTTTTCTGAAATCTTCCTGATTCCTTTTTAAGATTAAGAAAACAACTTCTGACTTGTTTTTGGAAGTGACAAGTGGGACGAGTCTGCAGATCTGCAAAGACGTCATGGATGCCCTCGTCCTGGTGAGTAACTGGCCCTCCCAGGCCATGGGCCACGGGGACCACACATGTTCCGTGCCCTCCACATGGCCCCTCCTACCATGGTCTGTGTTGCAAAGCATCTTCCCAGGGTCGCTTCTAATCTTTGGGTTAAGGAGAGATTTTTCATTTGCAGAAAATCGCAGAACTCAACAGATATACTTTAGAAAATAAAGAGACGGAATCTGTCTCGGATTCTGAAGCTGACGCCCCCTCTGGACCAGCTCCGGATCCCAGGCTGAACCCTAGTGCTGAGAAGGACGGGAGTGCCCCCCTGGTGGTGGAGCAGGTCCGGGTGGTGGATGAGGAGGGGCACCTGAGGGTGGTGTACCCATCCAAGACGGACCTGGGCACCGCTGCCTCCCACGTGACCGTGATCCGCTGAGGTGCCCGCTCCCCCCCTCGATGCCTGACAGCTTTGCCTCTGCAGGGCTCACGTGCAGTGGTTGTAAATTGTTCATCACACTGTCCTCTCCCCCTCGGCGTTTTTTAAGCTGTCTCCCTTCTTTGTCCATTTTCCAGAAGATTCTGCCGTAATGGCGTGCCACGTCGTCATGAGCTTAAATTGTCCTGCCTCTGCAGCTCTTACTAATTAAGGCTTTTGGTGAAATTATTCAAATGGTGGAATGGAGCACACTGTTCAGAAGGTGCTTAAGTCGCGGAGACACGGGCTGCTGGCGGGAAGAGGCCCTGCGGGTCAGATGCTCAGGGCTAGCCGGAGACGCTGCGTGGCCTCATGTTCTCCAGCCTGCAGTGAAGCAGTCCTTTTGTAAAAACCTAGTTTTTCAGTAAATTTCTCAACGTTGCTGTTGGACACTTAGGGGGTGGAGATGTGAAGAGCCTACTGGCAGAGCCCCTCATCTGAGTGCCTGCTGGGCCGGCCAGGGGGGCGAGAAGAATCAGTGGGATTCTTTTGTAAGTGAGCCCCACGGTGATGAACAGTCATCAGGACCCACATCTTATGAAATATGCAGGTTTCCATCACAAAATGGGCTTCACGGACTGACAGGACTGTCCCTCTATGACCTGTCAGCTGTCGGAGGGCCATGGGCAGGATGGCAGAGGCGGGAGGTGTGTGCCAGGTGGATGGGTCTGCGGCATCTTACACTGTAGGCGTTTCCAGTTTTGAATGTCTTGGCCATAAACCATCTGTGTCTATCAGTGTTTGTTTGAGCGCACGCGGGGGCCCCTTCCCGGAGCCAGAACATTCTTATGTCCAGGGAGCCAGCTGGCTAAAGCTCTACTGGCCTCCCTGGTTCAGACCTGGCTGGAGCATGAGAAACGGACACCTCAGGTTTTGCTGCTTAGGGACACCATTTACTCGGCCTTTAACCTGGAAGATTTTTGATTTGGGGGGAGCGTTTAGCCATCAGAACCAGACATGCGCAAGGCCTGGGACCCTGCATGGGGGACCTGAGCAGAACCTTGTGGGTCCCTGAGCTCGGCCAGCCTGCTCTGTAGGACCTGGTGGGGTGGCCTGAAACCTGGGCCTGTCTCGTGACCACCAAGCCTTCCCATCGTTGACCCTGCTGAAATGGGTGAGCCAGTGACTGCTCCCTTCTGCTCTGCGCCCCCACCCCCACCCCACCCAGAGCCTGCCAAGTGTCCCTGGCTTGTCCCTTCAGGACCCTCAAGCAGTCAGGGCTGCTGACACTGTAGCTGGCACAGGGTCTGCAGGTCACAGTGGAGCCCTGGCAGGAGCTCTGGGTGGAGGTAAGGACACAGCCAGGGCTCCCGGGCCTCGTGTTTCAGTGGCCACATCATGTCACATGCAGATCCCCCTGTCCAGCAGATTCTGCCGTAATGGACACCTCCTAAGTGTCCTTCCTAACCTATGTCAGGAGGCTGGGCAGTGGCAGCAGGATCCTGTCCCCTCCTCTCCCTGACCACCTCGGGGGCCCTAAGGACTGTGCCCAGTACAGGGCCCAGGGCCCTGGGACCAAAGCCACTTTGGTACAGCTGGGGCCCTGGGGGATCAGGTCTCAGAGGCCCCATGTGTCCCTTTGGGCCTCTGCCTGCAGTTTTCCCCCCACACACAGGGCAGGGGTGCCGACAGCCCACAGGCAGGGACACTGCACCTGGGGTGCACCTGGCTCTCCTGAGACCAACCAGACTGTAGGTGCACAGGCCACTTTGGGGCAGCTCCAGCTGGCACCAGTGTTGGCCTCTGACATCTTCTGGGCCCCAGAAGGGAGTTTATGAGGACTTCAGTGTCACCAGGCAGTGCTGGACCGAGCTGCAGGGTCTCCAAGGTCACTCCCCTCCTCTAACTCCCAGCAGTGCCCCTCACACCTGGATCACACCTGCTTGCCACTCCTCCCTGCCCTATCTGCCCAGGGTGCTCCAGCCTTGCATGGACCAGGCACATCTGACCTGTCCCTCAGCAGGCCTGCTCCCACCCAGCAGCTGCTCAGGGACCTTGGTCCTGGAGCCCAAGGCAGCTCTGACGTCAGGGGGTAGCCAGGACCTCTCCTCTCTGTCCACACCTTCGGTCAGCTTCTGCACATCCGGAGCAGACTGCCAAATGCCCAGAGGCCAGTGCCCCTGCCCACCTCCCCACAG